GTTGCACGCAGCTCATATGTCAAAACCAGCTGGATCGGACCACTATATCATATAGCTGCCATAGGAACGATCGGTCGAAAAGTAGGTTCTTGTATGAAAAACATTTTTGTTTATAAAGTTATCTTTACTAAACTTGGTATTTATTAGTTTTACTACGTTCCCCATATATATGCAAAATCCTATTAAGATCGGACAACTATATCATATAGCTGCCATAGGAACGATCGGTCGAAAATTAAGTTTTTGTATGGAAAATTTTTATGTTTTTCAAGATATCTTGACCAAACTCGGTACTTATTAGTTTTACTAAGCTCCCCATATATATGCAAAATTCTATTCAGATCGGGCAACTATATCATATAGCTGCCATAGGAACAATCGGTCGAAAATTAAGTTTTTGTATGGAAAATTTTTATGTTTTTCAAGATATCTTGACCAAACTCGGTACTTATTAGTTTAACTACGCTCTCCATATATATGCAAAATCCTATTAAGATCGGACAACTATATCATATAGCTGCCATAGGAACGATCGGTCGAAAATTATGCTGTTGTATGGAATTTTTTTTGTTTTTCAAGATATCTTGACCAAACTCGGCATTTATTAGTTTTACTATGCTCCCTCCACTTATGCAAAATCTTATTCACATCGGGCTACTATATCATATAGCTGCCATAGGAACGATCGGTCGAAAATTAAGTTGTTGTACGGAAACCTGTTTTGTTTTTCATGGTATCTTAACCATACTCGGCATTAACTATTTTCCCTGTGCTTCTTAGAATCGGGCAAAGCACTATAAGCATTTTGAAAAGGTTGGGTCTGCAAGGGTATTAAATCTTCGGTGTGCCGAAGATAGCACTTCTTTCTCGTTTTTGTTTAGATTTGGGAACCCTAAAACCGATATGGATTGTCCATAACGTTTTCGTAGGCAAAGGTTTTTTTTTCTATTCTTTAAACATTATAATATTTTTGAATAGTTTGTTTTTGCCACTTTTGGGGTTTAAGTGAATTTATTCGCTAGACCTTTCGTAAATCTCAATCGATTTCAAAACGTTTTACACCAATGGAAAACTAATATTTAAAGTAATAATTGAAAAAAATTTTAAATTCAATAGCTTCGAAAATTTTTTATTTGTTTTTTCCAAAAATTGACAAAGTTTGACTTCTTCACCAAATTCTAACTCACAAAATAAAAAAATAAAAAAAATTCGAATAAAATTAAATGTGCCAGATTCATAGTTTTTAAATCAAAATATGTTTATTGTAATTAAAAGCAATATTTCGAATGGTGTCAAGCACGCAGAGATTCAAAGTTACATCCGGGTTATTACCCGGCATTGCTTGGATCAGATTTGGCTTCATATTTCATGCGTTACTTTGTTTTAAATTTTGACGTGCCAGCTTGCGGTCACATTTCAATTTGAAAACTCCTTCTTCAAGGCAACTACCGTAAAAAACTCAGCTTACAAAAATTAGTTAAACAGGACGAAAAGTTAGGTATAGATAGCTTTTTATGGAGTTCTACCCTTGACTGATCCTCTACCAAACTCAACAATCTGCAACAAATGCAAACTTTCTGTTTGCTACAGCATTTCCAGCCTCAACAGCTCTGGGGTTTTTGCAAAACCAACTTAGACAATGACTGGCGCTTAATACGTTAAATTTTGTGCAATTTACAACCGCAGATTTTGGCATAGCTGTAACAGCGGGCGCACATGGCGTATGTGGAATATTTTATGCCAAAGAAATGTGAAGGATAAAGTTTTGTGGCGCGTTCGAGTCACATTGTTGCCGCTTGCAAGTTGTTAAAATGAAACAATTTGTATTTTCATTTCTAGGCAATGATTTGTTGTTGTTTTTTTTTTGTTGTTTTTTGTGCATTTGCTTTGTTTTATTGCTGCAACTGCGTTGCACAGACAATTGCTAAATAATTGCATGCAACCAAATCTGCAATTAAATCAGCTTCTGCTGCTGCTGCTGCTGCTATTGCACTTAGCTAGGTAAACACACACACACACACGCAACTGAATGCAAAAACATTTGTAAAGAAGTCCAACAATTTTTTTTCTTTAATTTTAATAAATAAATGAGAAAAAGCTGGGTGCGAAATGCACTTAACTCATTTGCAAGCCGCACAGAAATGCGCTTAAATAAATTAAAATGCGGCAGCCCTGACACTTAAACACATACAAGCGAGTGTAAAAAAAAAATAAACAAACATAAAACTAAAAAAGAAAAAAAACATTATCAGAGAAAAAGCAAAAAACAAACATGACAGACAAAGGACAAAGTGTCCTGGCAACCTCTTGCGCTTTCGGCTGAATGCCCATGAAAGGCAGTGAAAGTGCGCCAAGCAAGGAGAAAGGCGTAAGGCGTAAGGCGTGAAGCATGCGGCGTGCGGCGTAAGGCTGCTGTCAAGATAGTCAGCTGTTGGGGGCACCTCCAAGGTGCCAGCTGCAAGTGTCGCACTAAGTAGTTGCTGGCAAGTCGGCCTCATCCGGTGCCTCGCACAGCCAGACAAGCACTTAAAATGTCGCAGTTGCCATTAAAAAATAATATATATATATATATATATATATACGCATATATCAAACAACGAATAATGAAATGATAATTAAAAGCAGGCGGCATTCTACGGGCGGGCGGTCGGACGAGTGCTGCAAGGCAATGCAAGGACCTTCATTTGTTGGCCATAAAGTGCACAAATTGAAGCGACCACAAAATGCAGGCGCAGAATTCAATTAAGCAGAGTATGCAAGTGGGCGTGTCTTTGGGTGTGGGCGTGGCTCTAATGAAGAAATTATGAAGTGCAGTAAAGCGCAGAAACGACGACCAAAGCTCAAGCAAAAAAGTCAAGAAGGCCAAGCCAGACAGTCAAGCAACAAAAACAACCCAGTGAATGGACTCAGCCGGAAATGGAAATAAAGATGGAAATGAAAATGGAGATTGAGAGACTGCCACAGCGACGGCAACGACGACGGCGAAACTGTGATTGAGCTGGCCCGGGGCGAAGGAAACAATAAAATGCAGCCAGCGGCAAAGTTGGACGGCAAAAAAACAAAAAATGGACAAAAGACGCAGGAAGCAAATTGTAAAAGCCAAAACGAGCTGCAATCTTTGAATATTTGATTTGTGCTAATCATTATTTAATATTTTGTTTTGCATTCTATACCCTGTGTCCATTTGGAAATGGATAAGAACGGCTGTCTTGTCTTTAGGCATATGTATGTCAATCAAAAAGAGTAAATATATTCGTGATGAATATCGACTATCGAGTCGGTATAACCTTGATTGTCTGTATGTCTTGCCAGTCTTTGTCTGTCCGCCTATCTATCTGTAAGTCTATTGTCCGTATGTCTGCCTGCCTTTCTAAATTAACGCATCTATATACGGATGATAAGTCTGAAAACCGAATTCCTATCGATCTTACGGAATATCCCGCTTTCATTATCTGTTATCAATGATTTTACCTGTTCGGGCAATAGGAGAACCTATGTTCCACGTTTCATTTCTCTAGCCCATATAATCCTCGAGATCTATGGGTTCATACAGATGAAGAGACGACAACATGGTCGATCAATATAAAACATATCATATGAAATATATATAAATGTTTAATAGCCGAATATTGAATAGGTTGAGCTTTAAATTGGTTCAAATATTAAGCTGTCACTGTGTTGTACAACGCCCGTTTTGAGATGCCCGCACATTAAACTTTAATTCAAGAAATTAAGCAAATTGCGGCAATGATTTAAGTGCAAAATCATTTTCCATATTACAAAAAATTGTCGAAAAGTCGTTTATCAGAAGAGGCTGTGTGGAGGAGGAGCAGCAGAAGGCGGGGCAAAGGTCGCGAGCTGGCGCGGAAGCCAACTTGTCATTCATCAAACTTTTTCAATAAAACTTTTGCGCTGCTCATCGCTGGCCAAACCAGACGGAGCTGCAAATCCGTCGCTCATTTCGGGGGTAGCCAAAAGCCAAAATCCGATCCCGGTGGCAAAGTAGATTGAAATTTGTCTACATTTCGCCAGAGCTACGGATATGGATGGATATGGATATGCACGCGAAGCTGCGGATGTCCTTCGAGCGGCTGTCACTGGATGAGCCGGTGCAAAAGTTTTTCCTGCCATCGACTGCCAGATCCGCCGAATGCCAACACTCGAGTGTTTCGATTTACGTTCCATATCTGCTGCTTCCAAGAGCTGTCATTGTCAGGATGCTCCGCCTCCATGTCTTCCCTACCCGGACTGCTGCTCAATAAACAACTCAGCTTGCAGCTTGGCGATATTATACTCGTATTGTCATTCCAATCGATTCGCTCTTTGGCAAAACCTGCATTCAATTTGAGCACGAGCCATGCAACTTTTATGTTAAGCTCATCATTTAGCCAACAGCTCGATGATGCCAAAGCACACAGCGACCTCAAGCAGTAGACTAACAACAACAAAGGAGCTGAAACTGGCAGCAGCAGAACGTGAGTTCTCCCCGAGTCGATGCAATGACACTCGAAAGCATTCAACAATTTCTCGAGAACGTGCAGAGTGCTCTTAAAGTGCGAAAATTAGAGCGATCAAGACGAAATGCCAGATGCCCTGCATCTGCCGTCCTACGAAAATTTTCCTTATTCAAATTACGTGTACGCCAATTGGCGTGCGAATACTTTATCCTAATGATAGATGCGCCGGGCAAAGAGTTGATTGCTGTGCAGCCTTCATTTAAAGAGAGCTTTGCCAATTGACGCTTGAAGTACACGCGACCTCTGAAAAGTGAAGTGCAGGGTATTAATCACACAATAATCACAGGCTATGCGAGAACAATTGTCGACAACAACTGCCAACGACAATGCATGAATTTTGTATGGCAACGTTTCTTTTTCTTTTAGAGTAGACGATGCATCCGCGAGATATGATACGGGCGTGAATCACATTAGTAGCATTAGTCGGGGTTAGTCAAAGCGTGAGCGGGTCGGTTAGCGGATGGAAAGGGGGAATCCGCTTACGCTTGGAGATACAGCCCCAGGCCAAGAGGACCGCAGTCAATGCTAAACAAGGTACATAGACAAAGAAAGAGAGAGAGAGATTGAGAGAGAGAGAGAGAGAGTATAACTTAAAAGTTCGACAAAAAACTAAATATCAAAGGGATGTGAGCGGGATACGGCCGGGCTACATTGCTTACCATTCTGTGCGGCGCTGCCCTGGAACAGATTACGCAGATAGCTGATCAGGCGTCGATGCAGTGGCCGGTGGCGATGACGCGAGGATTTGCGCACCGATGAGGATGACTCCTGGCCGCCACCTTCGCCCTGCTCCACATCGTCCGTATCGGCTGCCTCCTTGCCGCATTGCGTGGCATCCACAATTATCTCAATGCTGCGCTGTGTGCTGGACTTTTTGAGATGGACGCCGGCGCCACTAGAACCACCAACACCACCACCACCTCCGCTGCTACCAAACGCTGCCAAAGCGCTGCTGCTGCCGGCTCCAGCGCTGGTGGCAATCGTGCCAATTAGTGCATCCGTGGCACAGCTGCCCGTGCCCGCAATGCTGCTCACGATGTTGTCACGCGAACTGTGCGCCGGCTGCTGCTGTATGATGCGACTGTTGCCCATGGCGCCGGGCAGCTGGCGTCCCTGACCGGCGCCGGGCAGCTCGTTTACCGTGCCATTGCTGTGACTGCCGCGATATATTAGCTCCGTCTCGTTGGACACTTGGCGCAGCGCATGCAGGCCCAAGCCCGTATGTGAGGCGCTGCTGGCCATGCCCCCAGCACCAGAGACGGCACCGCCACCGCCGCCACCACTGGAACCGCCGCTGCCATTGAGGCCAGTGTAGTAGGCGCTATTCGGTCGCTGCGTATGCTGCACCTGAGGCCCGGCCATTGCGCACTCTGCACTTCGCACTGGAGGATCGGTGACTGTCGCTGTCTCAGTCGCAGCTCGAGCGGATCGGCGGGTGAGCAGATGTGCGGTTCGACGCGTCTAGTTACGTGTTAGGCGCCTGTCGATTCGGTTTGTTAGTAGTTTTAGTTGCATTGCGATCATTTTATGCAATTACATTTTGGCCACCTTTGCGGTCTGCGATCTACGATCTAGGCTCTTATGTTAGACTCTGGCTGGGATTAGGTGTTAGTTATGGCGTTTGGCTTTTGATATTTGCTTTAAGCGTTTTTTGCGCCTGGCAGTCGGCAGTCGCTCCAACTTCAACTTTAAATTCTCAACATCTGCATGTGGAGAAAAAAAGAAAGATTGGGAGAGAGAGAACAAGACATAATATCAGAAGCTGGTTGTTAATCCAAATTAATATTAAGTTAGAATTAGTTTACTTTTAACAGCCAGCAGCAGAAGCAATTGCTTGTTTGTATGTGTGTTTTTTGTGTGTGTGTGTGTGTGTTTGTGTGTGTTTGTGTGTGTTTGTGTGTGTTTGTGTGTGTTTGTGTGTGTTTGTGTGTGTTCGTGTGTGTGTGTGTGTGTGTGAGTGTGTGAGTGTGTGTGTGTGTGTGTGTGTGTGTGTGTGTGTGTGTGTGTGAGTGTGTGTGTGTGTGTGTGTATGCGTGTGTGTGTGTGTGTGTGTGTTAGAGACTGTGTGTCAGCGAGTGTGTGACAAATACATGCATACATATCACGTACACGTATATATATTAATCATCTAGTTTAGCAGCGTTTCAAGATAAATTTTAAAGCATGTTTACATTCCGGCATTTGAACCTGCCATATTAAACCCAATGTAGAGACGTGAAGAGTTTTTGTATTGCACTCGATTAGTTATAAGTGAAAGCTCGCTGGTTCAAACCCATCAAAAAATGCATAAATCGGACACATATTTTCTTTTCTTGTTTTGATTTTATAATTAATAATAAAAACCAAAAAATGTACGAGATCTCGAAGCTGGTTGCCGTTCATATTAATATATAATGCATTCATTTTACGTTCGTTCTGCTCAGACTCTCATTAGTAATAAAATAGATAAAGCATTTGATCTAAGCAAGCCAGGTAGCGAAATTCATACGGCAATTGCTTTCAATGTAGGGTTTAGGTGTTCATTTATTTAGTAAAGTCCGAACGGTTCAGTCCGTGTAAATTTCAAAATTATTGTTTTTATTTGTTTGTCCTTTATCCGTATTCGGTGGCCTTCCAAAATGAAAAACAATATGGACGACGACAAACTCTTCAATCCATTCTATATTGGGCCCCACCCAAGCAAGGCATGCGCCGTTCCCGAAATTCCGCCTCGTCAATGCTCGCCGGACTGTACAGCTCCGAAAGTTGCCGGTCCTAGCGCTGTTGGATCGGGAAGTGCTGGTAAAGGAGTCGGTGGTCAGGGTACCGCCGGAAATGGAAGTCTTGGTGCAGCGGCACCTGCGTCCAATAGCATAAATCTGGCGACACCCTGCGCTCCGTATCCTTGCTATGATCGCAGCAAGTAGCATAGATGCGGATCAAAAGACACAACAAATATCTTAATTATCGCTCAATTATAAATAAACTAAGTTCAAACTAAGCTGAGGTATTTCTATAGACTGCTCGAAGGACCTTTCTTCCTCAAATCAATTTCAAAGTGCATGAGGTTATATGTATGTATTGTATGTATAATACGCATTTATTAGCTAATCGTAACAGCTGTTTAATCTCTGTTTGCCTAGTGAAAACGAGTATATTAGTTTTCTGCAATGTAGCTAGATACTTGAACGTAGATGTCGGGGACATTGCTCGAATCTCTTTTTAAAGAAGTGAGCCGATAAAAATGTATATCTTTTAAAGCCACAGCTTAAAGATGAGCTGCATTAATGAGCTGCAATTTACAAGTATGCCAGCAGTACAAAGTGACATGCATGTTAAGGCGCATGTTAAAGTTTTCATCAAGTTGTGCACAACAATTTGAAATCGAACATAGCATATGATCAGAGTATTAAGCAGCTAGTTAGACTAGACTGCAATGTATTGAATATCAATTTACAACTAAGGCATGCGATGCAAAGCGACATGCATGTTAAAGCGCATGTTAAGCTTTCAATGCTTTGAGCACAAGAATTTTAAGTGTAACCTAATTTCTCTTTACTATTGTTATGCAAGTCAAAACGAATTTTAATATTTATAATTGAATATAGCTTTGAATCAACAGCAGTATAGAATTAAATGTAAGTTGGCATATTGAAATATTTATCATATTCTGGGCTATATTTAAAGTTTGTTGCGAAGCCAATGCGATTCAGCTAGTGTTCATTGCGATTTGGCAAAATTCAGCTGATTCGGTTCTTTGCTGTTCTGCTGTAACTGCATCTTTAATGCCTCGCTATCAACAGTAATGCATCAGCAGTATTCAGCAGCAGCAGCAGCAGTAGCAGCAGTAGTGGCATCGACTGCTTTGCAATATCAATTTCCATTGGCATCGCCTCATGGCGTTCTGTTGCGTTTCTCGAGCGTATTGCTCTTGCAAATTGAATGAAGTACAAATTTATTATTTATTGATAGACTTATGCAAGTGCGCAACAACAGCGCCAGTAGGTTGAGATTGGGGGATGGGGAGGAGCAGGTACTTGAGACGCAGCTTATGGTTGCTCCTTATAAGTACTTATGTATGCATATATATCTGTGCTATGTGTGTGTGTGCGTTTGTGTGCTTGTGTGCTTGCATAGCCTGGCACTTGGCAAAATTGCTAACACGGCTGACTTCTTTGGCAAAAACTGTTCCGCCATGCGACCTGCTGCTCACCTGCAGCTGCAACCGCTTTTGCCACCCACCTTTCACCGCCCTCTAACAAAATGATTTATGCATTTCACCCGTTTTGTTGTCGACATTTCGCACAGAATACAACGACGGCAACGTTTAATGTGATTTTCTTGTTAAATGGAGACGCAAGCAGCAGCTGAAAAGCGTTCTCTACGAAAATGCTTTTCACTCGCTTCGCTGTTTTTCTTCTATTTTTTTTCTCTGTCAGTTTTAATTTTTCACAAATTGTCTGCACTTACGTCCGCTTTGTTAAGCGCTTGAAGTGCGCCCCTGTTGTTGTTGTTGTTGTTGTTTTTGTTGTTGCAGCTGTCGTAGTTGGGTTTTTTTTTTGGGACTTTTCACAATTGAATCGCGCTTAAACGAATGTGTTTATAGTTTTGCAATTGAGTTCTCAGCTTGGCATTCGCAATCTACAAATAAGTAATTCATTTTCGCATGCTTCCATTGTCAAATCAAGCACTCACTTGACATCAGCATAACTTGTCCTAGTTATTCATAGGCGAGTGATTGAAGCTTCTTGATGAAAGAGCATTTCATTATTCGGCTATCATGGGCAGTCTCTAAGCAAAAAGGAGTTCTTGACAAACACTTGGAAGTACACTTAATTATAGTAACTCAATCATACAATCATCTATACATCTTTCAAGCAAGCGTGAAACAAGCCGATATTAGAACTTAAAATTATTGTCTGCCCATTTTTCAAAGGTAGTCCTAAAATAGCTGTCGCTTGGGTAATCGAATAGATATTTCGTCTATCTATGGGTCGGTTATTTAAAAAAGCAACTCAAGATTAGAGATTGATTAAAATGTTGCTAGGCATCGATTAATTAAATTACTGACTTATTGGTGATATGTTGAGAAAGCTGACGTTTTTCAACTAGTTTCTTTATCCTAGATGCTTGTGCGTTGAACTAGCAAGACAGAGTGCGCTGGTTCAAATTCATCAGGAAAATTTGGTTTGTTATTATTCACAAAAAGAAAGCAATAATTAATAATTAAAAATTGAACATTTTTTAAATTGCATATTTAACATTAGACACTTTACCTGGGCAACGCCGCTTAATTTCTTCTCTGACTTTATGTATGCATATTTGTAGTTTTGATAAAAACTACATTTATTTATTATAATATTTATTAAATATTATTGTTGCGCTTTTTTATCGCTGTTGCATACATTTGTTTTATTTTTTACTTTTGTATTCTCGACTCACATCCCTGGCTTGGGTTTCCTTCATAAACTAATTTGCATTCATAAGAACTTCTATTCATTTCAATGTGAAATATTTATTTCCTTTGGCGCCATTATGAGCTGTCAACAAATCAAACATGAAGACTTAATTTATTGGCGTGTCGGAAATGCCGGAATGCCGAGTGAAGCGAATGGAAAACAATGCATAAATATCTATTAAAATTGGATTGAAATAAATTATAGTTTACATAGCAGCAGCAGTAACAGCAGCAGTAGCAATGGCAGCGGCAATGGCAGCGGTAGTAATAATAATGTGATAACACAGAGGTTAATAGCAGGGTGAAGAAGCAGCACAGCTCAGGACCGAGTAAAGCTGGGAAACGTGGGTTGCCAACAATATACATGTAGGCAGCATGAAGGTCAGATGACGCTCTCCGGAGAAGCTAAGCTGGGCAGGCGCTGGGCACTGGAGTGCAAGGCAAACACTTCGATGTGAAGGCAAAATCAACGACGTGAACAGAGGAAATTAAGTGCATGGCAGCGTACCAGCAGCAGCAGCAGCAGCAGCAGCAGCAGCAGGAGACGATGAACGATGTACGATAGACGGATGGGGTGCTGCTGCTGCTGTTGCTGTTATATAAAATGTTGAGGACAACAATGGGACTCGCATACTTAGAAGCACTTGAGCATAAGAAAAGAAAGCAAATCGTGAGGAAATGAAGCTGAAATTTATTATAACAATACACACACAGGCAGTAATCGTGTGCGGCTGCAGTTGCTTCGCTACGTTGCGGCTTTTGGGCAACGTTTATGATGCCGGAAGGCGAATAAAGCGGAAATGCCAGTCAAGAAAACCGAAATACGAAAAAAGGTAAACCCAAGCTGTGCGAGTCTGGCAGCTAAAAATGATGATGGCAACATTAAAGTGGTCCGGCAGTTGCCACGTCGCGAGCGTACCCAAGTTACCTGAGTAGCTAATTGATAGCACACGTACCACAGCTATTGTGCATGGAGGTTGTGGTGATGCTTGCATTTCTCAAGACACTGCCACGCATTCCCAGCTCAAATGTCAAGTGCACTTTCTTGAAGCGATGCTGTTCTTCTGCCCCTCCCAACGTGCTACATCGCACATAACCACAAGGAAGCCTGATGCAAGCAATCGCGTCTCTGAAAATATGCGCAATATTCCAAAAGGGAAGGTAAAAGGAAATTGGATTTTTGTTGACATTATTTTACAAATATCCGGGCGTACAAATAGCTATAACAATGGGCTTCTTGTTGTTGCTGCTGCTGCTGCTGCTGCTGCTGTTGTTTTTGGCCAGTTCTGGCCAGCTTTTCACACGCACACAGCAACACACACACACACAACCACACTAACACGCACACCCAACCTGATTGGGCTCAAATTTATGCAATGAGTTATTTGCGAGCTGCTACTCAAGCACATCCGATCCAAAGTGGAAGCTGAAGCAGCATCTAAAGCTGCCTTGCCAATTCCAACAGAAATGCCAGCCATTGTGTGTGTGTGTGTGTGTGTGTGTAAGATGGCGGTAAACATATTTTGATTTTGCATAATAAATTACCGTGTACTCTGGCACAAGTCGTCAGCCAAGAGGGCAACGGGACGTCGCGCCAGACACCGACCTGCTACTTGAGCCACTGATGCACTTTTCATACCATTTTGATTTTCTTGCTGCTTGGCATATTTCGCTTTTCCATATTGCATTTTCCGCGTATTGTTTATGCTTGAGAAATTGCACGAAATACCACTTAGTTGGTTGGCGCACAAGTGGTATACACACACACACACACACATGCATATTTATATGTGATTCTGACTATGTTGCCTGTCAACTGTGGAAGCCAATCAAATATTCGTGTTGGGTTTATTTACAATAAATAAGTTTTGATGGAATATCGAGTATCTTGAAATTGCTCTGGCAATGAGATATGTTTTGCTTTGTGTGCGAACCGACTAACAATGCCCTGTGTAAGGTACACAGACACACCTTAGGGCACGCATTGATATATACAGCTAAAACAAGAAAATGATGATATTTTTGGCAAGTAAGAACTTAAATACCCTAGTAGAAATATGGCATACGGTCTTGCAGATTTAAAAGGGTAACATGTTTTGCAAATATATCTTGAAAACAGAATGTTTTGCCTAACAAAGACTAATTTGTCGACCAATTCTTGTTTAAGCTGATATATCGTTTAGCTCTATATATATTGTAATATCCAATATAGATCAAATTTCGATCATATATGTTAAAGCTCTCAAATACCGAGCTTGATCAACAAATCTTGAAAAAACAAAACAGTTTTTTATACAAGAACATATTTGACCAATCATTGCTATGTTAGCTATATGATAGTGCGGTTCGATCTGCCCGAATTCCAAATATGCCTCCTCTGTAACAAAAGAAGAACCTATGCCACTTGCATTGCCCTTAAGCTGAGACACTAGATACAGACAGACGGCTGTGAGATTATTGGCTCGGCTGTTGAAGCCGATCAAGAATATATATACCTCCTTCTTCCTTCATTTTGCCCCTTACATACATTTGCACATAAACAT